CCCACCGCCCGAAAGACGACCTTGGCAAAGAGAGGGACCCTCTCGTGGAGAATGGATGGGCTTGCTTTCAAAATAAAAACCTCACTGCCTAACTGACGTGCCAGAAAAGGAAGAGAAAAGTCAAGCACGCAGCGAAAAGGCAGCATGAACCGGAGACGGAGGGGGGGGTGGACGAGGTGTGTGCGGGGTTTTATGAGAACATGTTGTTGTTGCCTGAGGAACGGGCCTCAGTTCTTAACCACGAGGTTCTGGGTGGGCTCTGTGGGACCCAGGAAGCCACGGGGGTTAAATGAGGGTTTATCTCAGGAAAAGGTCCGAATCTTCACCTGATTCCCAAAGGACTCTGGGACCCAAGGTGAAGAATCTCTTAAACGCCGATGTCGATTTTCAGCTCAAGGAAACACTTGTTCCGTTCAAGCTACGTTGTAAAACAAAGCGAAATACTGGCCATCAGCAGGACTGTTCTAGGAGCTCAAGGTTCTCCGCTGGTAATGCCGCAACTTGGTCTTGGTGACCCCCGCCCTGTCCTGGGATATAGGGGGAGTGGCAGATGGCCCGCAACGGCCACCTTGCTCATCCCTGAGGGCCACCTCCGCTTGGGGCCACAGACAGCGAGCCACTACCTCCTTGTCTGCTTCTGTACCACAACTGAGGGTTTGATCTTAAAATCTGGGAGCACATGGGGAGGGGGAGCGGTGGGGGGACAGGCTTCTGGAAAATGGGCCCTGGTCTGAGTCACCTACTCGGTGAGTTCCGCTTCCTCCCCGGAGAGCGGTGGGGTTGGGCAGAGATGGTCTGCACCCCCGGGGGGCCCGCAGCGCCGAGGCTCTGGCTGAGAGCTGCGCCCCACCTGGTCCCAGGCCATGCTGGGGGTGCGGGATGTCTGGGACGCTGAGGGCCCACACTGGACAGACACAAAGCTCACCCACAGCATCACCCGTCCCGGGTCCATCCCACCCTCCTCCCCGGGCACCCACGTAGCTCCAGGCCACAGAACCCGGAGACAAAGCGCCCCACCAGGAAGTCCGCCTCACCGCGGGGAGTCCCGGAGACATGGGAGAGCGGCCTCCAGGACCGGAAGCCCCATCTGCCATCACCACAATAACCACCATTCCCTGAGCATCTGCTGTGTGCAGGCTCGGGTCCGTGGCCTGTGCGGGCGTCCCCGTGTGGACTGTCACCGAGACGGCCCCATGACGTGACCGACAGCGACGGGCCGCGGGACTTCGGAACCTGTTCTCTGCGTGACCCAGGCTGCCCCCAGCCCTGCCTGTGGACCGGGAACCAGGGAGCCAAGTGCGGGCCGGGGACCAAGGAGACAGCCGGGCCACCAGGGGACGAATTCTTCTCTCCCGTCAGAGGCCACGCTCAGGGGCCGAGCGCCTTTCTGGGGTGGAAGCAGCCAGGACAACCAGAGCCCGGACCACGTCGCCAGGGCAGGGACTTAAGTCTGAGACCCAAGCAGCCGATGAGGTCCCTGGGGTCGGCCACGTCAACCCGGAGAAAAGACAGTTCTTTCCCGGGGAGCCTGTGCACCCACGCCTCCTAAAATACACCGCTGGGAACACGGCGGGTCTCGGGAAGGAGGAACACGCCAAACGCAGCCACGGCGTGTGGGAGGCAGAGCGTGTTGTGCAAAACTCCGGGGTTTGTTTCAAGTCATTAGAGATCCTCACTCAACACATGAAGGCCTCACGGAAAAACACTTCCGTTCATTTCCTGGGCTCCACAAAAGGCCCGCGCCCCACGGGTCCCCCTGGCAGGTCCCCCGTCGGAGCCGGTGCCGCTCACCGGGCGATGGAGAAGGACCCGCTGAGCACACAGGAGGGGCGACGGCCCAGGGTCGGGAAGGAGCCAGCCAGGTGCAGACGGCCGGGGCCTCCGGGCCGATGCGCTGTGCCTCCCACAGGCCGCTCAGCAGGGACGGTCCCAGCGACCACGCTCAGATGATCTCACCCCCGTTCACTCGAAATCTTAGAAGGCGACAGACAAGCCAAGCAATGGTAGTCTCCTCCTGCAGCCACACACGAGAGGGCACAGGGCCCCGGCCTGAGAGGGAGCACCTCTCAGGGCAGCGCTGACCAAAGGCTCACACCCCATGAGCAGGATGGGGGCGCAGAGGTCCAGCTGCCTCCAGGGTTGGAGACACGGGCATCGTCTCAGGCCTACAGGGAATGGGTACTGACCTGGCACCGTCCCAGGCAGAGGTGCCAGTCACAGGTGATGCTCCTTTTCCGCAGTCCACGTGGATGTGCCACCTCTCTGAACCAGTCCTGCCAGACCAATCCAGCAGCGTCTCCGAAACAGAGCCTGCAGTGGCTCCCAGCGACCCTTACTAGGTCACCTGTCTGTCTCCGAGCCGTCAAGCCAAGCGTGAAGGAGTAGCCTACACAGGGCGGGCAGAGGGGCACAGGGGTTCGTTCAGTCGTGTCCGTGGTTACCGCCACCCTTCGGGAAGGAGACGGGTGCCAATGCCACTCGTGTGCCCAGAAACAAGCTCACACTCCACTTCCCAGTGCTGCCGGCATTTCACAGCCACGGACACAAACCCACGCTGACCACGGACACAAACCCATGCTCTGACCACGGACACGAATCCACGCTCTGACCACGGACACACACCCACGCTCTGACCACAGACACAAATCCGTGCTCTGACCACGGTCACAGCTTCCCTCCTGGCTACTTTCAAAGGACCAGGCTCTATTTCATTCTGTCCCCTCAAAAAGCCTTGTTATTATCCCCGTTTAGCAGATGGAGAAGTCAAGGCTTCCCGAGACTTAAACACTGTGCTCAGCGTCACCCAGGGAAGAAGAGAGGCCGTGGGATGCCTCGTGTGGACGCCGTGGGCAAAACTTGCCCTCCAGCGGATGGAGGGGTTGAAAGGAAAAGTGGTCCATACACGCCCTGGAATATTACTCAGCCGCAAAGAGGATGGCGACTCTGGCTCAGGCTGCCACACGGGTGGACCCCGAGGACGCTGCTGAGTGAAGCCGCCCGATGTCAAGGAAAAGGAGTGTGAATCCAGACAGGAGGGACCCAGGGCGTCAAATCTGTGCGCACAGTGAATAGAAGGGAGGGTGCCAGGGGCAGGGAGGAGGGAGAAGTGGGGTGCTGTGTTTAGGGGTACCGTTTCTGTTCTGCCACATGGACCGAGCTCTGAGGAATAAAGTTGGTGACTGCAGATGGCGTGACTATACGCAAGATGGTAAATGTCCTGTGTACTTATACTACACTTTAAATTGATTTTTTTTTAGCCCGGCCAGTGTGGCTCAGTGGACTGAGCGTCATCCCAGGGACTGAGAGGTCCAGGTTCGATTCCCGGTCAGGGCACATGCTCAGGTTTTGGGCTGGATCCCCAGTAGGGGGCGTGCAGGAGGCAGCCCATCGATAATTCTCTCCCATCAATGTTTTTGTTTTGTAAATCCTCACCCAAGGATATTTTTCTATTTATCTTCAGATAGAGTGGAAGGGAGGGAGAGGGAAAGGGAGAGAGAAACACCGACACGAGAGAGACACACTGACTGGCTGCCTCCCGCACAACCCAAACCAGGGCCGGGGACAAACTGCAACCAAGGTGCGTGCCCTTGACTGGAACTGAACCCGCAACTCACTGGTCTGCAGGCCAACACTCTAACCGCTGAGCCACACCGGCCAGGGCTCTCTCAGCAATGTTTCTCTCTGTCTAAAAAGTCAATAAAAACATTTTTTTAAAATAATAATAATAGTACTTTTCTAAAAAGAAGCAAGAAAGACCAGACTCCTGCAACCTATACCAACCTGGAGGGCGGCAGTGATACATTTTGATATTCTCATAAACAAATCTAAGGTTAAAAATACATAAATAAAAAACCTGCATCCCCCAAATGGCTTGTATACAAGAAAGTAAAATTCCAAAACAAAACTAGAAACCTGAGATTTTGAAAAATAAAAACAAAAACAAAAAACCCTGCTGTTGGGCAGGACCCCAAAAGCGATCACGGTCTCCCCCAGCCCCGCCCAGGCCTCCACCATCCACCCACCCACTACACACCAGACCTCCGTTCCGAGAGAACTAACCTTGAAAGGCCCACCTGACTGGCCCTGGACGACGTGGGGGTGCACCTGCCACGCCCCCACTGGCCTTGGTGGGCCCCGGTGCCTGACCCGCCTTTCAAGGTCAATGGGCTCAGGTGGACTTCCACTCTGGAGCCCCGCCCCCACCCCGCCCTCAGCACAAGCCAGGACCGGGGAACTCCGCAAGGGGACAGAAAAGGGTGGGCAGGCAGGCGGGTGGCCTCACAGGTTCCCGTCTCAGGTTTAGATCACCACCACCTAGGTGCAGGGCCCTCCTCTGAGAGAGTGAGATACTCTTCAAACCTTTGAACAACGTTTCCGCACGCACCCTCCCCTGGAAGCAGGCAAGCGGAACATCTCCCCCCCCACCCCCACCCTTTTGAGATGCCGGGGTCTGTCCGAGGACAGACAACCAGCTGGCTGCAGACTCGGACCTGGAACCGCGTGCAATTCCTCCCGCCCCCTCCCTGCGGGGACAGGGCTGGCTCGCTCGCACAGGAAATTGAAGTGACTCCCAGCACAGGAGGGAGCCTGCCAAGTTCCGAGAGGCTGTCAGAGGACGAGCCGCAGCCAGGACACTCCAGGAGCTTCCTCCAGCCCCACTCGGCCCAGGAAGATCCCCCCAGACCCCCTGCCCTGCCCCCGACAGGACCAGGCAGAAAGGACGCTGAGAGGCACCAAGGTGTCCTGACCATCGGGGTCGGAGCGGCAGCCCCTCGACATGACAGTTATTCCCCTCCCGTCACACCAGCCCACCCCCACTCCTTCCTCAATCCCCACGCTGAGCGCAGAGCGAACAGGAGGAGGCCGAGCAGAGGAGGCGAATGTTCAGCCACCGGGCCGGCCGTGGAACCCCCGGGAGGGCTGGGGGCCGGACAAGGGCGGAGGCATGCGGCTGGGGTCACGCCCCTCTCCCGAAGCCCTGCTTGGCTGCGGGCCCTTACCTGGGTCGTCTGGGCTCTCCGGCCCTGCATGCTGCCGCTGTGGCTGAGCTGCGGGTTGGTGGCCCCTTCGGACAGGCAGTGGGACTTCCTGCAGGGGAGGGTGTTGTAGGTGCTGCAGGGGGCACCCTCTTGGGCAGCGGCTGGCATCTTCCGGTGGGCGAGGTGGGGGCCGTCGGGCAGCAAGTTCCGACAGTGGCCTGCACACTTGCCCCTGGGGCCCCCGTTGGCCATGGCCCCGGGGCTTTTCTGGGCGTACAAGTCGCTCAGGGAATTGGCCCGCTGGCAGGGGCCGGGGGGCCGCGGGCCGGCCCGGGGGTCCATGCCCCCAGCCTCCTCGCAGTCCTTCTCCTCGGCGGCACCCAGAATCTCCTCGTTGCTCGTCAGATGTTCTTGGCTCAGGTCAGACAGCGAGAGCTCCAGGCTGTCCTCCCGCCAGATGTCCGCAGACTTGGAGCGCTTCTTCTTGAAGCTGCTGGCCTCCGGGAACGCCGGCCCGGCGCAGGCATAGGGGTGCTGTCGCCTGCCTCCCTCGGCCAGAGGGGGCGCACCATCCCCGTAGAGCCTGTTCTCCTCCGCGTCCGGCATGCTCTGCACCGAGGCCGCCGTGAGGACGATGCTGCTGTCCACGCTGGGCGCCACGGAGGAGTCGGTGTACGACACGGGTCGCAGGCCCATGTCCACGCGGTCCACCCAGATGGGGCTCCCGAAATCCTCCAGGCCGCCCTCCGGGGCGAAGGGCTCCAGGCCGTTCTCCGCCAGCGACTGCGGGATGCTGGGGGTGCTGCTGGACCGCGTGCTCACCTCGGAGCTGCGGGGGATGGCCTTCCCGGAGGACGCGTGCCGGGTGCGCCGCGCCTTGTGGGACAGGCGCAGGGAGCGGGACGTGTGTTTGCGCCCCAGGCTGGCATGCTTCTCTCCGTAGAACTCGTGCGCTACATTCTGACTCTCTGCGTTTCCCATGGTTTGAGGGTCTGCAGCAGAGAGAGAGAGAAAGGAGGGGGCAAGAGTCATCAGTGGGTACGGGCAGGTGCACAGGAGAACTCAGCACACGGGGAGGGCGCCCGCCTGCACGCCCCTGCGGGTCCTCCCCATCTACCGGGATGACCCTCGGAGATGAGAGTCAGTGAGATCACCGGGGACCCGCTGTCTTGGCCCAGAGGGCCGCTGCCCACCTGGCGGCCACAGTGTCGCTCTCACAGGTGGGCAGCCCGGGTCTCCCTCCTCCGGAGACTCAGCCACGGACGTGAAGTCCCACCTCATAAACTGAAGTGTGCCCAGGAGTGTTCTGCTCAAAACTGCGCTTCGGGGAAAACCAGGACTCAGAGGCCCCCTGAGAACCTGCCTCCCTCCCAGGAGGGTATCAGCCTCGTTCAGATTCCACTGCGCTTGGGAGTCAGTCAGAGGCGCTGACACTCGGTGTTGGTCAGTCCCGCGAACTCTTCCCAAAACCAGTCCCGGGGACGCGGGCTTCTCCTCTCCCTCCGTGGCAAACTGAGAACCCTGACATTAGCTGGGGGGGGGGGCAGACAGAAGAGAAAGTCCACTCTCCACTCACCAGAGATGCACGGGCCTCCCCGAGAGCACACGCAGCACCCCCCCCCAGAACAGAACCTCGGGCTGCAAAGCCAGAGCTGGGGAGCACGCCTCCGGGCTGCCCCTCATCCCAGTCCCCCCCAACACTCCCAGTGTCCCTGGACCTGATGACGAGCCCACAGCGGGAGAAAGATCCTGAAAGCTCAACCATCGTGACTCCCAGGAGCCCGATCTCCTTGCCCCGCCACCAGGTGTCTCTCCGCCACCGGAACTGCAGACACAGGTGAGGACACTAATGGACGGGAGGCCAGGCAGCTGGGCCTGTCCCTGGGCTGGTTCCCTCCGCCACCGACACGGTCGCTCACTCCGAAGACAGACACTGAGGCCCAGCAGTGAGCGGAGGAGGCCTGGGCCCCGCCCTCACACAGCTACACAAGGTGACGGCACCAGAGGGAACGGCCGGAATCGCTGTGACCCCGAAGCACAGTCTGAAACACCCCGGAGTGGAGCTGCTCAGCGAGTCACTCCGCAACCCGTCCTGCCTGGACCGTTGCTTCAGCTCTCCTGAGTCATTGTGACAGAAACGAAATCTGCCGTGGGGAGGACGGGACAGCCGCGGGTCAGCGACACAGAGTCCGGGGTGACTCACACAGACACGGCTGAGCTCCTGCCTACTGAATGCCCCCTCCCAGGCCCCCTGCGCGGGGCCAGAGATCCGACGGAGGCCCTGGATCTCCGGCAGCCACTACACCAAAGCCACCACCGGGGACCCTGGATCACCGGCAGCCACCCGGCCGCCTCTCTGGCTGGTGTCGCGAAGAGGCAAGAAACAGGATGAAAACCACTCCGCAGAGGGAGCGCAGACCAGACACACTGGCCTCGGTGACCAAGCACCGCCTTTGTCCTAAGGGATCACGGCTGCACATTGTGAGTGAAATGATGAGCGTTTCAGTAGCACAGACGACCAGGGCCCGTTTCCTAGACATTTTGATTTTTTTCAAGGGTGATTAACCCCCGATGTGTCTTGTTTCGTGTGCTTTGCCCATAAATAAAAAGCTCAGAGCAACGGTCAGCCCACAATCCCACTTGAAGAACTGCGTAGATTTACCTTTAAGAGGGGGAAACAGCCCTGGCCGGTTTGGCTCAGCGGTTGGAGCGTCGGCCTGCGGTCCAGAGAGACCCGGGTTCGGTTCCCGCTAAGGGCATGTACCTCGGTTGCAGTTTGTCCCCGGCCCCAGTTGGGTCATGTGGGTGGCAGCCACTCACTGTGTCTCTCTCACGTCGATGTTTCTCTCTGTCCTTCCTCCCACTTTCCCTCCCGCACTACCTGAAGATAAATGAAAAAAAAAAAGAGGGAAAAGAATTACGGTCAGAGAGACCAAGGCGGGGAAGGCAGGACCGTCCCCTCACTGCCCGGACGTGCCCGCCTCTGTCACACATCGAAAGTCTGCAAACATAAGCGGACAGGCATTTCTCAATGACAGGATTGTTTCCGCCAACAGAAGATGAATCAAGGTCACAGCCTCAGGGGCGATTTCCTGGAGCCAAGGGCCCAGCCTCGCAGCGTCACCACGGGGCAGCCCCCGCGGCCAGCCCGGCGGGCAGCCCCGGAGTCCGGCGAGGACACCGAGTCTCCTAGCCCCGCAGAGAAAGGCTCAGGGGTGACCAGAGCAGAGTCAGCAGGGAGCTGGAGGCCGGTGACGTTGTGAAGAGACGTTTCTGGGCCCTGCTGAAGCCCCCGCCGCGGACAGCTCCTCCAGAGAGGCCAGCGAGACCGAAGGCCCGCGTGGGGACCCGAAGAGCTAAGTGTGAGAAAGCACCACTGTCCGGGGCCCACAGCCCACACACTCTCCCCTTTGGGGACAAGCCCTGCCCCCCGCGACCCCAGACCGGCGGTGACCTGCAAACTGTCCCCCTTTCTCATACAAACAGAGAATGCCCGCGACGGCCAGCTCCTGCGGGTCCCCCGTTCCCTCCTACTCGACCCTGAGAGTGCAGTTTTATTTACAAAAAAAACAAAATTTTTTTTTAAATTTAAAACCCTGGTTTGCATTTACATTTGCGCAGGCCCTGCTGGTCCCCGTGACTCTAGAAGCAACTTCGGGACAGCAAGTGGCTCTGCCGTGTTTGTCGCCACGACGGACGCTGGCGTGTTCCCCCCGGGATGAGGAGTCGATACATGTCCCTGCCCTTCCAAGGCCAAGGCAGGAGCTCAGCGACCAGCCCCTCACCACAGGGTCACAGGGAAGAGGGGCGGGGAGGAGGACAGGCGGAAATGCAAAGAAAAAAGGAGACAGCGATGGAAGAGTGTTAGGAAAGGGGTACTGGGTCTCAAGCTGGAAATCGTTCCGATTTAAACCCACTGAAGTCTCAGCTTCCAGAAAGCCGGCACTTCGTGGGCAGTTAGCGGGAGGCAGTGGGCAGTTAGCGGGAGGCGGTGGCCAAGATTTCAGCGCGAGAACAACTCTCCGCATTCAAACCTCAAGTCTGGTTCTCACACTTTCTCCTCATCGTCTAGGTCGGGCTCCCCTGGCGGCCCCAGGGCCTTTGTCCACGCTCCTCTCTGCCTGCAGCCGCCTCCTTCCAGCCTGGCTCAGGCTGCAGTCCCCGCAGAGCCTGACCCCCACCTCCGGGGCCTTTCCCGGGCCTCTCTGTCCCAAATGACAGCCCCTCCGGGGGCTCCCCTCGCTCTCCTCCGTCCCTCCCTCCTCAGCAGTCATCAGGATTGTAACAACCCACGTGCTTCTCTGGCTGACCCTGGTTCCTCTCCCCGAGCCCCCGGAACCCGCTCAGGAGGGCCCACGCTTTGCTCACGGGTACCCTCGGCGCCGGGGCACGTCTGAAAGGCAGCAGGCGCTCCGTGAACACCCTTCACGATGAAACAACTCCCACCCAGGACATCCCCACTCAGGCCCCGGCAATAAGGCCCAGACCCACGCCAGCCTCCCAGGCTCCCCCACAGAGAGCCGCCCACTAAGCCCGCCCGCAGCAGACCCTGCAGCTCCCTCACTCCTGACCCGGGACGGAGGAGAGCGGTCAGCTGCCCGAGCCACCAGCCCGTGCGCCCCACAACCAGTGACTGGGAAAGACAGGCCTCACTCCCGAGTGGGCATCTAACCTGCTGCTCTCTGTTCCCGCCGGGATCCGCCACCAGAGCTGTCCCCGCGGAGGTTAAGGACTGGGGTGCGGGGTTGGGAGGGCAGACGGTGCGACCTGCCTGCCTAAGACGGCCCAGAGAATGGGGGCGAAGGAGGCGTCAGGATGGGCGGGGTGTCTGAAGGGCAGGGTGGGGAATCAGGGTTCTCCGGGGCAGAGAGGGAAGCCAGGGGGTGTCCCAACACCATGCTCTCCCTCTGAAAGCGACGTGTTCCGTTTCCCAAGTAACCACAGTCACTGCCTTTGAGGCCACCAGACCCCAGGCAGCGCGTCAGAGGGCATCTCAGAGAACCCCACCGACAAGGACGGAACCCTGGGGGGTCCCACCAGAGCGGGGGCGGTCCCTGCTCAGGGGCGCAGCGGGCTGGGCCGCCTGCTAAGTCCCACGTGTGGGCTGCCAGGGGCCCGGCCTCGCAGGTCACTGTGATCACGTAAGATGTGGTCTCTGCGGGAAGCCAGGTGCAGGGTACACTTCCTGTGTACAGTTTCCTGTGAACTGGAAGTTGTTTCTACATGAACAGTTAATATAAGCAGAGCAGAGCCCTGGCCGGTTGCTCAGTGGTTAGCGTGTCGGCCCGAGGACGAGTGAGTCTTGGGTTCGATTCCAGTCAAGGGCACGTACCTCGGTTGTGGTTCAGTCCCCGGCCCTGGTCGGGGTCGTGTGGGAGGCAGCCAGTCGGTGTGTCTCCCTCACATCAATGTTTCTCTCTCTCTCTCCCCCCTTCATTCCCTCCCTCCCACTCTACCTGAAGAGAGATGGAAAAACATCCTCGGGCCCTGGCCGGTTTGGCTCAGCAGTTAGAGCGTCCGCCTGTGGTCTGGAGAGACCCGGGTTCGGTTCCCGCTAAGGGCACGTACCTCGGTTGCAGTTTGTCCCCGGCCCTGGTTGGTCGTGTGGGTGGCAGCCACTCGATGTGTCCCTTTCACGTCGATGTTTCCCTCTCTCTCTCTCTCTCTCCCACTCTCACTGTGCAAAAGATGGAAAAATGTCCTCGGATGAGGATTAAAAAGAAAAACATCCTCAGGTGACGATTTAAAATAAATTAAAAAATAAGCAAAGCTGTAGGAACTGCAGTATTCAGGTTAAATGAGGGTACTTCCAAACCAAACATTTTTAATGCCCTTTTGTAGCTGAAAACCACCTAAAACAGTCTCATATAATCTTAACAAAGCAGGCAATCAAAACCCAGCATGTATTGGGCACCATCTACGTAACAGGATCAGGAGATATGGAGCGAACACAGCCCAGTGTCCACAGAGAGGTCAGGTGGACGGGAGAGGGGCCGAGGACAGACCTTCTGTCTTCACAAAGTAGGAACAAACCGGAGGGCCGGCCCCTGGCCCCTGGCCCCTGGCCCCGGGCGAGAGGAGGGGCACCGCGGCCAACCTCTCCCGACAAACCCAGAAGCAGCTGCCTGGGCACCCCAAAGCGTGTCGGAGGCGGGTGGATTCGGGAGGGGTGCACCCCCGAAGGAGAGTGGGTCCCCATGTTTGTTTTCACCCCTCCAGTGTCTCACCCAGCCTGGCCCGAGGGGGAGCGCCCAGCGAGCTGAGGCACCAGGAGCAGAAACCCCCAAGACGCACCCCTGTCGTTCCACCCAAAGGAACCAGGAAGGTGGCCCCTGCCGACCACAGAGAGGGGACCTCACAGGACGGAGCAGGAGAGAGTCGTCTAATCCACGCAGACCCAGGCTCACCGCTCAGGGGCACTGCCTGGACCCAGCCAAGGCCACAGCCACACCCCACTCCCAGGTGGCACCTGTGGGGGGCACACCCAAGGGCAGAGCAAAGGCTTTGAACACGGAACGGACGTGGGAGCCTGCAGTCTGGACCCAGCCTGGAGACGCTGCTGACACAGCGACAGAAAAACCAGCCCCCCCCCCCCCCGAATGACTGCAATAGGACTTGGGGTCACCCAACACCCACGATGCATTCAAAGACCATGGAGATCCAACCAGCACTCAGGGGAAAAGACAATCAACAGACACCAACCCCAAGGTGAGGGGGGAGTTGAAATGAACAAAGGCTTTTATTTATTTTTTTATGATCTTATTGATTTTTGAGAGAGAGGAAGGGAGACAGAGAGAGAAACATCGACTGGCCGCCTCCTGCACGCCCCCGACGGGGGATGGAGCCCGCAACCCAGGCGTGTGCCCTGACCGGGAATCAAACCGGCGACCTCTTGGTGCAGGGTCCACACTCAACCACTGAGCCACACCGGCCGGACTTAACAAAGACTTTTAAAGCTGCGGTTGTAACTGTGCTCCCTGAGTAACTGTAAACAGTCCTGAAGTAAATGAAAACCCTAACCAGTCCTGTACAGGTCATTCCGAACACCCACTGTTATACACACATGGAGAAGAAAGATAAAACCTCCTTGATCCGGGAGATAACATGTGAACTGCACGTGTCGGTCACCTGCCGTCCTGTTCGCTCTGTTCTGCAGGAGAAAACACCCCAGTCGAGGCAAAGCCACCCACGGCCAAGGCCTCTCCGCACGGAGCGCAGGAAACACTACTGTAACGTCTGGCTGTGCACAGGTAAAGGGAGAGCGAGAGGTTACAGGGGGGCCAGGACTAACTCACCACCTCCAGGACTAAGGGGGTTCTAACAGGTTTTGTTGTTGTTGTTAATCCTCACCCAAGGATATTTTTTCCCATTGACTTTCAGAGAGAGTGGGAGGGAGGGGGGGAGAGAGAGAAAGAGAGAGAGAAACATCAATGCGAGAGGAACACACTGCGTGGTTGCCTCCTGCATGCACCTTGACAGGGGCCAGGGACTGAACCCTTGACTGAGAATCAAACCGTGACCCTTTGCTGTGCCGGCTAACGCTCTAACCACTGAGCCACGCCGGCCAGGGCCTGTTCATATTTTGATGGCTGAGACCAGGGGGCACACAGTACTCCACAGACAGAGAACGCCCCCAAAGCCCAGCCTGGGGTCAGACGATAGAGAGAATTCACTGCTAGGATCACACATCTCCAGAGCAAACCTCGTCTTATTCTCAGGAAGTACAACTGAAATCCAACCTGCACATCCAAGACACTGGCTTGGAGCGGGTTAAGTTTTTCTTTACGAATATTAATCACATCTCACTGAAGCACACACAATAGGTGTGAGTAAACATTTCAGCAGTAACTGTTCTGGACAAAGTAATGAAGAGTACCTTTCACAGTGACACTTGTGCGTGTGTCTTTTCTGAAGTTTCTGCACTAACCCTGTAATTCACTTTAAGGGAAAACAAGTAAACGCAACCTACTTCCATCTCGCCGGGGAGAGCGAGCGAGGGTGCTCGGGGCCACAGCAAGCGGCCCCGACCCGGGCGTGAAGCAGATGGTCTGGCGTCACCAGTGACGAAGAGCGTGCTACCCGGCGCGGACCCTGTGCCTCTCTCTCTGTCCCAGCACTGTGCTGGGCCTCCTATCGCTGAGTCCGTGGCAAGGCCGCCTGCTCGCTGACACACTGGTCTTCCTATATGTACAACACCCCTTCCCATTTTATGATCATCTCCCTGGGGCAGAAACCATGCCCTACCCAGCCTTGTACTGGTCATCCAACTAAACTAACGTTTTTTTTTATTTTTTTGTTATCCTCACCCGAGGATATTTTTCCACTTGTTGTACAGATAGAGCGGGAGGGAGAGAGAGGAAGGGAGAGGGAGAGAGAGAGAGAGAGAGAAACATCGACGTGAAGGGACACATCGAGTGGCTGCCACCCGCACGACCAACCTGGGCCGGGGACAAACTGCAACCGAAGTACGTGCCCTTAGCGGGAACCGAACCCGGGTCTCTCTGGATCGCAGGCCGACGCTCTAACCGCTGAGCCAAACTGGCCAGGGCTAAACTAACGTTTTAACACAGCTGTTCTTAGGGGGCGCGCTCATCACTCAGGCTGCCTTATAACCAGGACACTTCGAAAATATAAAATGTGCCCAGTCGGTGTGGCTCAGTGGAAGGAGCGTCATCCCGTAGCCTGAGAGGTCCCAGCTCGGTTCCGGGTCAGGGCACAGGCCTGGGTTGTGGGCTCGATCCCCAGTAGGGGGCGTGCAGGAGGCAGCAAGTCCTTGTTTCTCTCGTCAATGTTTCTCTTTCTCTGCCTTCCTCTTTCTTAAAAAAAAAAAAATCAATAAAAACATATTTAAAATAAATGGATACACTGAAGTTTTAACACGGCTGTTCTCAGTGAGAACGCTCACCGCTCAGCCTGCCTAAGAACCAGGGCTCTTCAAAGATGTAAAACGCTCGTCCTTCGCGGACCCAGGATGACCGACCTCGCGCGGTGCCCCGCTCAGAAGTTAACGAGGAAGGTTTTCTCCGCCGTGGCTGAGGGCATCAGGAAAGCCAAGCAAAGGGCACTTAATGATGTGTATAAATGATAATTGTTAATAATAAACTTTTTCACTCCCCTGAGGTATTTAAAAACTTATTAAAATAAACATAATGATTACCCTTCTATGACTTGCGAACAGACCTCCAGAACTACAGGAGAAAGGATGAACTGTATTTATTTCGAAGTTAAATTTGAAGCGAAAATCACAAGACAACAGATTGCACATTTAAAATTAGAATCCAGTAGGAGGGCTTGGTTCCCAGCCTGCTTTCCCCCTGCTGGAGGCTGGGCCCGAAGACGGGGGGGAACAAGAGCTAAGATTAAACGGAGATAAAGTTCTGAAAGTTTTTGCTAAACCTTCACAAACCCATGAAAAGTACTTTGCCGGGTCACACACAAATACCCCACCACGAGAGACTAAACAGGACAGTTTTGCAACAAATAAAAGATGATCTTTGATTTAGAAAGATTATTATTTTGACTGTATTTACTTTGCTTTTTAAAGAGTACCCAAACCAGAAACAAAATATATCATGGTTTTAAAGTAGGATTTTGGCCTTTTCAAACGTAATCCCACATGAGGATGGTGAAGCTTGGGGATGAATGTAAAAGGTCCCGAGGGCAATTCACAAGGGAAAAAGATTTCACGTGTACCCGCTTTTTCATTTTCTTTTTTCAAGTTTTAATGCCAGTGCTTTTCAATTATTAAAATGGGTGTAACCTTAATCCGAAGAAGTGATTCCAAATTCTTTTTCCCACGAGCTACGTACAACACAGCAATTCCGATTGTACTAAAATGTGCCTGACCCTGTAGCTCTGAAGCCGTTCCATTAATTCGCAGGGGGCCCCCGGCTCAGGGGTGCACAGGTGAACTCACCTCAAAGGCAACAGCGGCTCCCAGCCCAGGCTGCCCCAAGAGCACTGTGGCATTTAGGTACCGACAGAGAAATGGGAGCAGGGCCAACAGCGACGGGCGGGAGTGTTTCAGCACCTGCACCTCGGGACGGCCATGGAGGTCTCATCTGCGGCTACGAGAAGGCGCCAAGACCCTGGGGGGAGAGGACACAGAGCAAAGAAGCGGTCAGCCAGGGCACAGGGGGCGGGCATTCTCCGCGATGCACCCGTTTGGGGTGAAATGCCACACCCCTCCTCTAACAACGCAACATTTCACCACAGGTATGAAATGACTGGCATCATCAGATAAACAAACACACACAAGCATGCTTACATTTGTAGCAAGAAGTAGCCCTACAAACTAAGTTACTGTATCACGCGAACCTGTTCCCACACAGGAAGGGATTGGATGACAGAAACGGGTCCCTGTGAAATTATTTCCACGGTTCCCTTCGAATCGTCTAAAGGTCTCAGCAAACACATACGGATGAAACACAAGAGGGACTCAATCGCAGTTCTTCTCAAGTGGAGCTCTGTTGTAACAGGAGCTGGAGAAAATGCTGAGCATCGGCAGAACAGAGACTTCTCCGCGTACCTGCGCTCGCGGCTGCCAAACAGAAAATTCCAAGGAAACTCAAGAAGCAGGTGCAGAGACGGGAAAGAGTTTAGGTAAAAAGTGCCCAAACTGTCCCTTACTCAGAAAAAAACTGGCAAGGACAGCTCCACAAACAAGCAGTTTTATTATTATTTTTTGTAAGCCCTCCGAGGTCCAAGATTGCACATGCTGAGAGAGAACACAGACGGGGTCCCTTGGGGCACCGCCTGGCCCTCCCGCCCGCTGGACAGCCCTCTGGGGGCTGCCCTGTGATGACAGGCACCTGGAGCAGAGACAGGGAGAAAATGGTCTACTTTGTGGAAGGTGACGGCACCGAGGCAATAAACACACACACACACACACACACACACACACACACACACACACACACGAGAGAGAGAGAGAACAATAAGCGAAGTTACTGTTCTTTCTTGTCTTGGAAACGTGCTATTTAACAGCCGGTGACTCACGCGTGCAGGGGAGGAACATGACTTCTCAGCAAACACCGTGATTACCCCAAAATACGTGCCCTTTCCATGAGTCCCCCATTGCCGTCCTGCTCGCTCCCTTTTCCTGGGCATCCTCCATAGGCTGCTGTCTCCACATTTTCAATTTTCCAACGCCGCTCTGGACTTGCTCGGGAACTGGCAGGAATCAGCGGGCAGCAACCCGCTGGCACCGGGCTCGCGGCGGGGCAGCTGCCAGGGACCGGCAGGCTGGCGCTGGCTGGCGAGCAGGCCCGCGGCGCTGTCCCTCCCCCCCTGCACACGGGGGCTGAGTGCGTGTCTTACACTCAGAAAAGGTAGGTATTCCACCGAGAGAACTGAAGGCTTTGTCCCCTCTGCTCGAGCCCCGCTCAGAACACAGGGGCGCAGCGGCGAGCGCCCCGGGCATGTGAACCGTGCAGAGCAGAACGGAATCTATTCGGTGCGGTCTTTCTGACTCGGTGCGGACACTTCTACGGGATCTGGCTGTGGGCTGACCCACGAGGCCCCATCTGTCCTGCTGTCGGCCAACACGTGACTCATTCTGCCAGGTGACGGGATGTGACGGCGACTCGAGAACGGACGGCCTGGATCTGCTTCCTTCCAGAACCGGTGTTGGTGGGAGGCAGCCACAGACGCGTGGTGAAGCCCACCCCTGGCACCCTGCAGCAGCATCGGGCACCCTCAGCCTCACATGGGCACACGGCAGAGCCCACCCCTGGCACCCTGCGGCAGCATCGGGCACCCTCAGCCTCACATGGGCACACGGCGGAGCCCACCCCTGGCACCCTGCGGCAGCATCGGGCACCCTCAGCCTTACACGGGCGCATGGAGGAGCCCACCCCTGGCACCCTGCGGCAGCATCGGGCACCCTCAGCCTCACAGGGACGCGCGGACGACCGGGGCCACGCTGCCAGCCCGCTGCTCTCCACGGGTGTGACGCAGTCCCCAGGCCTCTGGCTGTCGTGGTCGCTCCGCGAGGCCGCTGTGGCGGGATCAGCTCGGCGCCAGCGCCATGCCAGCTCTCAACAGCCGTTGGCCACTGTTCCCAAGGGATTTCGCGTTGTGAACCACGCAGCGCGCTCGGGGAGGGCCACTGTCGGGGGGCTTCCTTAAACGTGATGCTGGCCCCTGGGACCAGGGCTCTGCAGGACGCGCGATGCAAGTGTCCGCCTTACACCTGCTGTGGAGCACGAGCATGAGTGGGCCCGGAGGACGAGGTCTGCCCAGGAGCCCGGCTCCCGCACACACAGCCACATGGGCGAGCCCGGTCGCCTGCCTGCGCTCCGGCAGGATGACCCCGCACGGGGACACTGCGGGACCCAGTTCACGTCACTGACTCCGACTCAACCCACACCGCCCACTTCTGGGTCAGGGGTCAAGTTGCCGGTTTCCATGGGGAAGTGTTCGTGTCCGGGGGGAGGGGCCGGGATTCCTGACACCAGCCCCGGGCTTCAGAGCCCAGGCAGCAGACAGGCAGGGAAGCCCCGCAGTCTGAGGCAGGACAGACAGACACACGGCGGCCCCGGCAGCAAATCCGCACCCTCCCAGAGTCCACTGGAACAGAACTGCCTCCTCGTCTCAAACTCCCCGCGGGCCGTCCTGACCTGTTCGGTCCTCCCCGTCCCAGGGTCACAGGGCTTAGAGGAAATGATGCTGCACAACACCAAGTTCATGCACCGGCTCTGTACTAACCACAAGGCCTCGGGCGAGTCAATGACCCCTTCAACCTCGACAGCAACGTAAGGACGTAAGATCCGCCTTCACTGAACCGGAAAAGATGGCATCGGACTGAAATTAGAGAATCCACCTGAAAACACGGTAACGTGCGCCGGGAACGGACACTCTCACACTGTTCCCGGTGAGTCCCTTGTCCCCCACCTTGTGGCCCCAAATGCTCTACGACGAGTGAATTCCTGGGAACCGTCACCCTGGACCTTCGGGGCGGGCGATGAGCAAGTCTGGAATCAAAACCCTCAACAAGTCAGAATCCTGAATGTTTACTTTCTATGTAAAAAGCACCAAAAGGATTTCGTTTTCAATAGTCATAGTGAGTCCAAAAATCAGGACTGGATGAAGGGAGGGACAGATGGACGGATGGACGGACAGATCTGGGTCCCTGGAAATTTTCGAGTGGTTCCGAGGTTAAGGTGAAAGAAAATTCATCAGTCACTTTCTGTACTTGTTTCTAACCATTCCTTTATTCATCAAAAGGCTCACGAGGGACTTCGAAGGACACGTTGTCTAAAGTAGAACTGAAGAAACCACTACTGGAGAAAGAGAAGAAACCACAGGTTGAGACACAGAGAAGAATCACGGGAACCGCTCACCCTAAGGAGCTGCGGAGGCGGCGCCTTCGGGCAAGGCTGTCAACCGAGCTCCGGGGAGACGGTGCTGCTGGGGAGGGGCCCGCGCGTACCGCCCAGGGCCCGGCCGGAACAGCGCTGCCCTCCCGGACTCTGCAGCACAGCCGGGCCCCTGGCCCATGCCCAGCACAGCTGGCCGGGCCGCTGCCTGAGGCCATGCCTCATCCGAGAGGGGCTGCTCTCTGGGAGCTGAGCGAGGACCAGACGCCCACGGGAGGCACAGGTGCCATCTTCCCGCGGGGTGAGCACAGGAGGCCCTGGGCGGGACCAGGCTCCCGGTGCAGTCATTCCCTCAGAGCAATGGGCCACGACAGGGACTCCAACCCTGCTCCACACGGCACGATGCCACCGCGTCAGCCCAGCCGTGATTTCAAGGCCGGTGAAAGCAGACGCCCACGGCAGCCACGGGCCATCTCTGAAAGGTCCCACGTCCAGCCAGGCTGGTGTGGCTCAGCGTCTGAGCATCGACCCTGCACCAAGAGGTCACCAGTTTGGTTCCCAGTCAGGGCACGATCCCCAGTGTGGGGCATGTAGGAGGCGGCCAATTGATGTTCTCTCTCATCGATGTTTCTATCCATCTCTCCCACGTCCAAAGCCCGCCCCCTCCACAGCAGGGCTGCTCCTGGTTCACCCTCCAAATGGACCTTGAGTGTCAGGGAGGAAGTCACAGGGCTGGTATTTTCAGGGACTTGCTGCTGAAATAGCCACGTTCATCTCAGCAGACCTTGGGCAACACTGAACCAGCAGGTTCAGTTGGGAGCGACGTCTCCGTGTTTCCCAAGAGGGAAGTCAGCGCGTCTCAAAGGGAGGCTCTGCGTGCCAGCCCAGCTCAGGGAGACCCGCCGGGGACGGGGCGCCCGGGGTCGGCTGGAGACGTGCCCGGCTGCGGCCAACCCTCGGCTAAATTTCCCTGGATTCTCGGTGTCTGTCGTCTTGCAACTATCTACCTGGACACTGGCAACAGCCAGAACACACCACTCTGACTCGCGTCCCTCACAGTCAGGGGAGCGTGAGACCCCCAGGCCCCAAGGGCTGTTACACTGCTGGCCATGAAGTCTCCCCAGCACCCCCAGCCTGGGCTTGCAAGGGCCCAGAGGAGGCTCAGTTCGCCAGACCACCAGAATCACGAGACTTCGCAGACTCTACGCAGCTTCACGGCCAACAGGAGCCACAAACCCACGGACACCTGAGAGTCCACCTGGCCGCCCGACCCGGGGACTGTGTGAGGGCAGAGCCAGCTTTGGGCTCGGGCTCCTCAATTCTCCATTTCAAGCTTTGGTCACATCACAGCAGCAAGCTCGAGTCACAGTGAGAGAGGAGGGACCGTCCCCAGGGAAGAGGGCAGGAGCGGACGGTGTAACCTCTAAGGCCGAAACCGCTCCTTTCCTGTCCCCCACCTTGTGGCTTAGCTGCCAGGTGTCCTCAGTGGGAGCAGGTTATCGAGGGGCCCGCGCGAGCCTAGTGGGGGACAGCACTCCGTGGAAACACAATGATCCTCTGAAAACACATCTGTGCCTCAGCTCAGAAGGGGTTTCAAAGTCAAGTCCGCCACACTTCCCCAAATCGAGCCCCAGCTCTCTTCCCACGGCAGACCTGCCTCCTGTTCCCAGGTCGGCTGCCGACACCTCAGCAGGCCCCGGAAGGAGGCCTCCCTCCCCGAGACGGGGGGCGCAGTGGGAGGGGGGTCAGGGCGGCTCGGCCCTCACCGA